ACGCTCTCCGTCTGGTTGTGTTGCCTCTTCGGAACGACATGCAAGAGCATCTTTAATCTAAGTTTATTATTTTGCTTTATTAACTCGAAATACTCAAGCCCAACTGTTTTCTATTAAACTAAGTGTCCATTATATTTCAAAAAAATAAACTACGTATTTACTCTGTTGTTACTTTCATCTCCAATGAGGATTAAAGCTATCTTTCTGCTGATGAACACGAGGTCGTGTCGAAAGAAAAAAGTCAAATGCAATAGTGGTGCGACATGCGACATCAGGGTTATAAACAGGGAGAGGCAAATCATCAAACTCAGAATCCATGTCATTTACAAAAAAACCCAAATTTTACTCTTCAAACTGAATTTCATGCTTTCATGTCAGACTTATGATTTTTCCTTCTTGAAGGTGGGATAATAGGTCATCTCAAAAAAAAAAAAAAAAAAGTTTATCCACTACGTTTCGGATTTATTTTAATCCTTGCTCAGGTGAGTTAACGCAATGGTTAAAACAGTGGTCGTCATTCATTAATATTTTATAGAGACTACCTAGTAATCTGAATATCTACCACACTGGCTCTTTTTTAAAATAAACTGTTATAAAATATTTATGAATGACGACCACTGTTTTAACCATTAGGTTAACTCAGCTGAGGAAGGATTAAAATAAATCCGAAACGTAGCGGATTTTTTTTTAGATGACCTACTATCCCACAATCAAGAAAGAAAAATCATAAGTTAAACTGTTGAGGTCGAAATAGGTAAAAGGTGGTTAAAGATAGGCGAGTAGAGGCAGAACGCTCTTTTTCTGGCTGTGTTTCCTCTTTGTGAATATTGTCTTGCAGCACGTCTTATTTAATCAAAGTTTAGTATTTTGCCTTAATAACTCAAAATACTCTATCCCAAATGTTGAATAATAAATTAAGAACCAATCTTCAAACAATTAGTATAAACCACGAAATTTTAGTCTTCAAACTATATTTGCCTCCATATATGACGGTACATAGGCTGAAGAAGCCAAGTAGTCATATTGTGCGACGTCAAGGATAAAAGCAGAGAGAGAGAGAGAGAGAGAGAGAGAGAGAGAGAGAGAGAGAGAGAGAGAGAGAGAGAGAGAGAGAGAGAGAGAGACAAATCGCAAAAAATTCAAACTATGTATATTTGCCTACATTTCAGCTAATGAGTTTTAACAGTTTTTCTTATATTGCACATGAGGTCCTTTCAAATTAAGGTACATTGACCGTTAAAAACAATGAATTCTGCGGCGTCAGGGTTGTAAGCAGGGTGAGGCAATTCGCAAAAAAAAAAATATATATATATATATATTTCCTAAATGTCATTTAATTAGTATTAAAAGTAGATTTCTGATATTGTCTGATATTGAACATTAGGTTCTTTAAAATGAATGGTCGTAAAAACATAAGTCATATTGTGCGGCGTTAGGGTTGTAAGCAGGGAGAGGCAAATCGCAAAAAAGACGAATTTTACTCTTGAAACTACTACCTAACTCTTTTTAGCGTTGAATTTGACTATAATTTCATTGGCCTATAAGGTTATATTTTCATTGGCCAGCATCAGGGAGTGGCGAAACGCTGGCTCCTTCTGGCTTTGCTGTCTATAAGAATACTGCACGATCGTTGCCTTATCAATTTGTAGTCAAAGTTGTGCAATTTGCTTTAATACGATAACTCTATTTGAGCTGTTGAGCATACTCAAAGCACTAATTGTTCGAGGTTAGGGTGAAGCAACTACTTTTATCTCAGGCTTCTTCTCCATAATTGTGTTCATATTTTTAACAAACTCGTGGAGCGTTCTTAATCTTTTTAAGATGTACAATATTGAGTACAGTGGTAGATATAAATCCTAGCTTACATTTTCGAGTTATTTAGTATCTTAGACTACTGAGTCGTTTAAGATGGTGTAGCTATAGAAATGAAACACAAAGTCAGTTTGTCATCAAAGTTCATTACTCTTTATCTCATATAAAAAATATATAAACAAGAGGTTTCGATTAAAGATGAATTATTGATGTCAAGAAGTTTACAATTGGTTCCTAAATGAATCAATGAAACTCAATCGAGCCTTTTGTATGAAACTTCTTGAAATTTTATCGTTTATTTAGTAGCAGTTTTTTCAAGAAATTCTAAATTGATTTTGTATATTTTTTTCCATTTTAAATTTGACACTGGACTACAAGTTTTAAATTCTTGACGACACGCGTTACTATTTGCAAATTGTTTTCCTATTGCGAAATAGGGAAAGCCCATCTAAATCAGTCGGCAGCAAAATAAAAGAACATATTAAAATCTAAAAATAGAACTTAACGTTGCGAAGCTCAGTGCTTTGTTTTGTCAGGCGAGTATGACGTTTCGTCATTTTCTGACATACAATCTGGCCAGATTTATTGTTCAATAAATATCAATGGTTATTGAACTTTAGAAAAACTGTATCAAAATAAATACTAATTTATTTTTTGTCTTTCTTAATCGAAATATCGTCTTGGGTGGAATAGGGTTAAAAATAAATCTTGTGCAATGCTTAGCTGGAAATACCGTTTCAAATATTTTTGGATGCTCCCTTTACCACTGGTCTTCTCAGTCGTACAGTATCTATTTTAATCAACATGTTTTTTAAATAAAAATTTCTCACCAGCTTATTGTTTGTCCGTTGTAATTTTTCAATAGAAGAAAAGACGTTTAATTGATTAAATTTTAATTATTCATCGATAATTTCTTAAATATCAGCATTTTATGTGTTTTCTTCTATGTAATCAGTTTTCCCCCCTACTTTTCTATTAATTGCCATCTTGCTAATTACTTTGAAGAGTAATTTAAAATGTTGATTAATGATGAGGGAAGATAAATGGATCCGGTAACAATAAGGTTCGGCAATGATCATTAGGAGGGCCAAATGAACATTGACCAATTCTGAAGGCGGACTTCGACAGGGACGGAATTTACAAAGCGGATGAGTCTGAGACATCTTGCCTCACCCTGCTTATATCCCTTACGTTAGCCGAAACGCGTCTGCCAGAACTGAACAGTGAGACCATAATGGTCGAGAAAAGCTAAACAACGTAAGGTTATATTTACATTTCCCAGCATTAGGGTTATAAGCAGGGAGTGGTAAAACGCTGGCTAATTTGGCTTTGCCTATGTATAAGAAAACTGCACGATCGTTGCCTTATCAATTTTTAGTCTTTTTAGTTTTAAAAGTTATGTAATTTGCTTTAATATTTAAAATGATCGGAAACGACCAAACTATAAAGTTATCAGATGTAGTCAGTGCTTAGCTGCCTCGCCCTCCTTATATCTCTGTCGAACTCCACTGAAATGTCTGTCAGCCAAAAGATGTCTGACAGGCGAAAACAGTGAGAATATACCAAAATGGGCGAAAAGTCTAAACTACGTAATTATCTTAACCGATTGGAGCAGGTATCGTATGGACACAAACTCGATCTATTTAAAATAATTTTGTAGTTTGGCCCTTAATTATCATTTTAGTCAGCTTTTGCTCACTTTAAGGGGATGTCAATCGCGTTTCGCCTTTTCGCGATATTCAGTATTTTGTCAGGGTTATAAGCAGGGTGAGGCAAGATATCGACAACTTCGTATTAAGATAATTTTGTAAGCAGGGGGAGGCAAGATATGACAATTTCCTAGAAAGATAATTTTGTAATTTGGTCGTTATATGTATATCGTTGTTGTCTGTCCATCCTCGCGGTTTTGTTCAGTCAGACGCGTTTTGTCTTTGCTATTCGTTATTTTGTCAGGGATATAAGCAGGGTGAAGCAAGATATCGACAATTTCCTATTAAGATAATTTTATAGTTGTGCCATATCCGGTCATTTTCGTCAGATTATGCTCACTTTATGACATGTCAGTGGCGTTTCAGCTGTTCGCCGTGTTCAGTATTTTGTCAAGGTTATGCGTACCCATCAGTAAGCGGGGTAAGGCAAGATATCGACAACTTCCTTTTAAAATAATTTCGTTATTTGGTCGTTATATATCGTTTTTTGCCTGTCCGTACTTGCGGTTTTGTTCTGTCAGAGGCGTTTCGTCTTTTCGCCATATTCAGTATTTTGTCAGGGTTATAAACAGGGTGAGGCAAATACCGACAACTTCGTATTAAGATAATTTTGTAGTTGGGCAATTTCCTATCGCTTTAGTCAACTTATCTCGCTTTATGGGCATGCCATTCGCATTTCGGCTTTTCGCCATATTCACACTTTGTCAGGAACATAAGCAGGGTAAGGCAAGATATCGAAAACTTCCTATTAAGATAATATTGTAATTTGGTCGTTATAGATCATTTTTTGTCTGTCCGTTACACGGTTTTGTTCTGTCAGATCCGTTTCGTCTTTTCGCCATATTCAGTATTTTGTCAGGGGTATAAGTAGGGCGAAGCAAGATATCGATAATTTCCTATTAAGGTAATTTTGTAGTTGGGCATTTCCTCTCATTTTCGTCAGGTTATGCTCGCTTTATGGATAGACCTGTCAGAGGCTTTGGACACATCCAGTATTGGTCAGGTTATAAGGAGAGCTTGAAAAGATACCAGACTATCCAATTAAGATAATATAGTTTTAGTGGTCTCGACAAGCTACTGAAAATTAATATGTAAATGTATACAGATCTCGTTTTTGATTATTCAGTTTTTATCATTTGTCAGTGATTTTTGATGTACAATGTTTTTACCTCCCTGTTGAAAACTATGGTGACCATAGTCAATGACATACAGTTTTGACTTGCCAAACTTTTAAATATCTTCTTGCTTTGTATAGGTTTAAAAAGATGCAAGTCGGCCGGTTTTAAGTATCAAATCGATTACCTTAAGCATACGATTATCATAGTGATAGCAAAAATAGCCTTAAATACATCTTTTGTAGTGAAATAACAGCAATGAATTACGTAACGTTTAAAGAATGGAGAATCACTTCAGGGTCATGAGTATACTCGCCCCTGAATATACTACGTCTTCAGTTAAATTCGCACGTTTGTACAGACTTGTTCTCCAACACTAATGTTCAAAAGTACTTTAAACTAAGTAGAATTTGTGACTGAAACAAGTGTTTTGTTTTAAACAAACAAAGGCGCCCGTCGACTAAAAGTGTGATTCTTCGCGAGAAGGACGCGGACGACGTCACCGCGTCGCGTTATCGCCCTGAGCAGACGAACAGTCCCGAACCGGCCTCTAAACCGGCAGAAGCATGAAAAATGTCAATAGTGACACGAAAAAAGTGACGACAGTCAGCAAAACAGGTACAACATGAATGTCCCCGCGTTTAATTCTAAAGATAGTGTTATCAAATAAATACATAGACAAAGTAAGAACAAATCGAAACTATCACAAGCAATAACTCTCGTACGTAGCCAAAATATTATGAATAAAATAAAAATAGCAGCACTAATCGTAAAATTTATTTGGCCTAATTTTTTTAAATGAAAAACAGATTTATTATCCCTAACACCGTAGAATTCGTGCTTATTGGTGAAAAAATTTGTCAAATAAAAAATAAAATCTCTAATTTTTGGCTAGGCAGTATAAAAATGAGAGGTCAAATTAATCATTTTGGCAGGTTGCATAGGGTACATTTAGCCCTTGGCAGACAACTAGGAACAAATTATTACATTTAAAATAATACGCAAATAAAAATTAGGCCATCAAAAGATTCAATATTAAATAGCCAACAGGCCAGTAGTTTTTTTTCTCTCTCTCGATTTCAACCAACTTTCGAACTTTTCCAGTTTTTTCTGATTTTCTTCGTCAGTAAAATTGTACCCTTTGTTTCAAAATTGTCCAATGACATATTGAGAGCTGGACTTCATATGAGAAACTCCGATCGATCAAAAATCGAAATAACTTGTCAAATTTAAACAATAGCTGGCAATTTGATACATAAAAAAGCAAAGATGGAAAGGACCAAGGGTGCAGAAATCATCACTAAATTATTATTAGCAATTTTTAGCGGTTCGCGGTTTAATCCGTCCAGTTGTCAATTTTGGTCTACGAGTTGTTGAACAAATCGATAAACCTGAAAAACCAACCTAGAATTGTTTATCGTGGTCATTCTAAATAGAGGGACCTTGCGTCGTGCAATGTACTAAAATCAGTAAGATTTGTCTGTGTTTGTTCGATAATCATTTTGGTCCGCTTGTCCTCTCTTTTTCCGCCAAATTCGTTTTTTTCTAAATCTTTCGCAAGTGCAAAATTGGCTGAGTAATTTGTCATACATGGGTAAGTTAGAACAAAGAACTGCTCACAACTTCTACGATTAGTATATTTAATTCCCTAATTTCGTGGTCCGCTTGACCAATTAATATATTACAATTAATTAAGGTTTTTAGTTGAGATAAAAAAGTCAATGGTACGAGCGGGATTCGAACCCACGATCTTCGGCTTGATACGCCGCTGCTCTACCACTTGAGCTATCTTGACTTCGATCCACTCGGACACCAACTTCCCATCTCAACCCCACCTTTTGAATTTTCCCTCCTTTTTGCCATTTTTCAAATGTCGTGCATTGGATTCTCGACGACAAATGAAATGACGGAGAGCTTTAGTGAAGTGTACTTCATTTAATTCATTAAATTCACTAATTTCGTGGTCCGCTTGACCAATTAATATATTACAATTAATTAAGGTTTTTAGTTGAGATAAAAATCCGATTACACGACATTTGAAAAATGGCAAAAAGGAGGGAAAATTCAAAAGGTACGGTTGAGATGGGAAGTTGGTGTCCGAGTGGATCAAAGTCAAGATAGCTCAAGTGGTAGAGCAACGGCGTATTAAGCCGAAGATCGTGGGTTCGAATCCCGCTCGTGCCATTGACTTTTTTATCTCAACTAAAAACCTTAATTAATAGTATATTTAATCATGAAGAAGCATATTTTTAGATTTATCTTGTGCTATTCAGCATATTTTGCCCAACGGGCTTTATCTCATTCGACATTCCTTTAAGCATTAGCTGTAATAATTTAAGTAGTACCCTTGACCACAATGGACAAGAAAGTAAAGACCTGTCGGACGATTTTCGGCTTTTGGCCATATTCAGTATTTTCTCAGGGTTATAAGCAGGGAGAGTCAAGATACGGAATCCATCCAATTAATATAATTAAGTAGTTGGGCCATTTCCTAACATTTTCCTTGTATTGTCAGACGAATTTCAGCTTTTCACCACATCCACCATTTCGTTAGGGTTATAAACATGATGTTTTCTTATATTTCGACCTCAACAGTTTAACTTAGGATTTTTCCTTCTTGAAGGTGGAATAATAGGTCATCTCAAAAAAACCACAATCAGTTTGTACCCACAACGTTTCGGATTTATTTTAATCCTTCCTCAGCTGGGTTAACCTAATGGTTAAAACAGTGGTCGTCTGTCATTAATATTTTATAACAGTTTATTTTAAAAAAGAGCCAGTATGGTAGATATTCAGACTACTAGGTAGTCTCTATAAAATATTAATGAATGACGACCACTGTTTTAACCATTGCGTTAATTCTCTGAGGAAGGATTAAAATAAATCCGAAACATAGCGGATAAAAACTTTTTTTTTGCTTTTTTTTTTTAGATGACCTATTATCCCACCTTCAAGAAGGAAAAATATAAGTCTGAAATGAAAGCATGAAATTCTGTTTAAAGAGTAAAATTTGGATTTTTTTGTAAATGACATGGATTCTGAGTTTGGTGATTTGCCTCTCCCTATTTATAACCCTTTTGTCGCATGTCGCATGTCGCACAATACGACTATTGCATTTCACTTTTTTCTTTCGACACGACCTCGTGTTCATCAGCAGAAAGATAGTTTTAATCCTCATTGTAGATGGAAGTAACAACAGAGTAAATACGTAGTTTATTTTTTTGAAATATAACGGACACTTAGTTTAATAGAAAACAGATGGGCTTGAGTATTTTGAGTTAATAAAGTAAAATAATAAACTTAGATTAAAGATGCTTTTGCATGTCGTTCCGAAGGGGCAACACAACCAGACGGAGAACGTCACACCTCTCCCTGCTTATAACCCAGACGGGCAATATAAATATCACCTTTTACAACTTAATTTTTTTAAATTCTCATTGAGGAAGAGTATAATTTGTGGTTTAGAAATATGTTTTCGTGTAAAAGAACTCTGTAACAACCTAGTAATGGCAAACGCGCGCCTAATTTTTAATATTTTAATAAATATATTTTTAAAAAAATATATATATGTATCAAAAATATTAAAACGTTTGTTCGGAGTCTGAATATGTACCACATTGGTTCTTTTTTAAAGTAAACTGATATAAAATATTAATGACTGACGACCACTGTTTTAACCATTGGGTTAACTCACCTGAGGAAGGATTAAAATAAATCCGAAACGGGTGTATAAAAACGGATTGTGGTTTTTTTGAGATGACCTATTATCTCACCTTCAAGAAGGAAAAATAATAAGTTATAAGCATGGTGAGAGCAAGATATAGATTTCATATAAGTAGTATACATTCTCATGAAGATAGGATTTATCTTACCGATGAAATCCACCTATATTTTCACTATAGGTCAGCTTTCAGAAACAAATGTTGAAAAAGTCGGTATCTTGATCCACCCTACTTATATCCCTGACAAAAATACTGATTATGGTGAACAGCCGAAATGCAGGCGCAGATTATATAGTAACGGACAAAGTCCAAAGTTATCCTAATTGGATGAAGTCGGAATGTTGCCTCACAATGCTTACAACCCAGACAAATTGGTGAATATGATGAAAAGCCGAAAATCGTTTGACAGACCGAAACAGCCGACGATAGACCGACCAAAAATGATATATAACGATCAAATTACATATTATTATATTTGCGGTCTTTACTTTCTCGTCCATTGTGTATTTCCTGATCATCAACATGCTCTGACCTCAAAAGGCTATCTCATAATTTATGTACATGTGTAAATAACAATTACGTATATCTTATCGACCATGTATATCTGTTAAAAAAAAACATTAAATATTGTGTGACCGTATTGCAAATAAAAATATTAGTACGACCCAAACCTAATTTATTTTTTAATGTGTAGTTAGTAGTAATTAGCATATTAATTAAATTGTGCGCCAAATTTGACCGTTAGGATTTTAAATAAATACTCAATTATTATTTAAAAGAAATAACAGTTATTTTTTATTGGGAGTTTTATAAGAAGGCAATCTACTAAAAAAGTTTAAACCTATTATAAATATTAAAAGCTTTAGCTTAAAAGCTTTTGGAATGGTGTCAAACCTTGGGAAATTATGACTGGCATAGCATGTTTAGACCAAGTTCCACCGGAAATGTCCGTTCCGACAAAGACTCTCCACTCAATTTTTCATTTGTCGACCCATTTGCCTGATTAAACCACTACACAAAGAATAAGTCGAAGACGTTGAGATTACATCGACCTTCGTACTGATTTCTTGAAAATAGATTTGCACGTATCAAATGAATTTACATGAAATAGTAAAAGAGTTTCTTTAAATAATTTTTATTTTAGGAAACAACGTAGACAGAATGTCCCACACAGTAACAGTGACGAGAACGACGACGACGTCGACAACCTCGGCCATCATCATCAACACCGGCTACCTCAAAACCGTCCCAGGGATCCTCAAACTTTTAGAAGTGGTAAGTGGTTACTAAAGCTAAGCAACCTATACGAAATAGACATACCTAAAACCTTAAAATATACATTGAACACGAAAAAACTCATTACACACACCATTTACACTATAAGTCTAAAAGCGTCTGACAGACATACCAAAAGAACAATAGACATACTAAAATGGACGGAAGTGACCACCGACCTCGACTTTTTTCCTATCGGATGGATGAAAAGTAAACAGACCGCCGCGTCGTTCGAGGAGTCGAAATTCCACAACACCTGCGCCCGACAAAAATTAGAAATGAAAAAGGTCGAGGGCTAACGTTGCTCAACGATGATGCAAGACTCCCAAAGGCCTCTCCTTTTTCAACAGTCTTTTATCCACATCCCGCCTGACTATTTCATCCGTTTTGACACTCGTCCTAATTCAGTTAGATTTTCTTTGCATAAATTGCCAAAAAAATTCGTTGCGTTTCGGCATTTAACTATCTTCAGTGAGTGTTGAACTCACGATGTTTAAACATTAATACAATATTTATCTAACTATATTTTCCTTTGTGAAGAAAATTACAATAAAAAAATATAAATTGTATTTCAATGGCAGTAGTGGGTCAGGGTTATAAGCAGGTTGAGGCAACGAAACACCCATGTACATATCTTAGAAGAAGGGTAAATGCTGAAACGCATCGACAGACCAACTCAGCGAGGAAATGTCAAATTAATCATTTCTTAAAATATTTTTAAAAAATAAGATGGTATGAAATATAAGCATGAAAAGTAAAATAACCGTATAAAGCGATTTTTTAAATATAACTTACAATACCATATGATAATTAATTACAATTAAAATTTAAAGTGTAGTATTTAGTGACCATTAATTAATGATTATGTAAAAATAATTCTAAATTTTTGTAATGCTTAAAAAAAGATTTAATTTGATAACAAAAAGAGATCATTTTAAATTAAAAAGAGTTAATTTTAAAAATGGTTTGAAGTTAAAAAGAGTTATTTTCAATTGAAAAAGTTTAATTTGGAGTTAGAAAAAGTTAATTTGAAATTAAAAAGATTCAATTTTCAATTGAAAAAATTTAATTTGGAGTTATAAAGGGTTAATATAAAATTTAAAAAGTCGCTTTGTAATAATGGGTAAATTTGAAGTACAGAAGTGTTAATTGAAAATTAAGTAAGGTTAATTTGGAGTATAAAAGGCTAATTTGGTGTTCATTTGAAATTAAAAAAGTTAATTTAGAGATAAAAAAAGGTTAATTTGAAGTTATAAAGCGTTAATTTGCAGTTTAAAAAAAGTTAATTTGAAGTTATGAAGCGTTAATTTGGAGTTAGAAAAAGGTTAATTTGAAGTATAAAAAAGCTTAATTTGAATTTAAAAACGGTGGTTAATTTTTATTTGAAAAAGTTCAATTGAAGTTTGGAATTAGAAAGGGTTAATTTAAAATTTAAAAAGTCGCTTTGGATTAATACAGGATTAATTTGAAGTTCAGAAGTTTTAATTGAAAATTAAATAAGGTTAATTTGGAGTTATAAAGCATTAATTTGAAGTTGAAAATGGTTAATTAACTTTAGAAAAGGTTAATTTGGGCTTACAAAGTGTTAATTTCAAGTTAACGGGTTCATTTGAATTTAAAAAGTTAATTTAGAGTTTAAAAAGTTTAATGTTAAGTAGAAAAGGTTAATTTGGACTTACAAAGGGTTAATTTCAAGTTAACGGGTTCATTTGAATTTAAAAACGTTAATTTAGAGTTAAAAAAGGTTAATGTTAAGTTTAAAAAATGTTTAATTTGAAGTTTAGAAAGATTCATTTTAAATTTAAAAAAGTTACTTTGGATTAATACAGGGTTATATGAATTTCAGAAGGGTTAATTGAAAATTAAATAAGGTTAATTTGGAGTTAAAAAAGGTTAATTTTGAGTTTTAAAGCGATAATTTTAAGTTTAAAAACGGTTAATTTCAAGTTTAAAAAAGTTATGAATCGAATTTATTGAAATCAGTGATCCCACGTCCTGAGCCTCCTCTTATTAGTTAGTAGGTTAGTAAGTTTATAATGGTAGACACTCAGACTGTTCAGAAATCAATGCCCTCAATTGACAAAATTGATATTTTTAGTTTTTAAGGAAACAATTCTTGAAGTTTTCTTAATGCCACTGTGGGAAGTTAAACGTAGCATGAAGTTTCTAAAGGTTTCACAAGATATTTTCAACAATATTTTATAATCTTGGTATGGGATTTTTTAAAATTGAATCTGGGGTACGCCAAGTCGAGAAAAACGTTCGTCTTAGTTTTTTATTTATTTAGAAATCGTGGGATGCGGGCTGGTGTGATGTAGGTTTCAGAAAAACATTTTCTTTATCGTGATACGTTTCGATCTTTATTGAGATCATCTTCAGGGCCTGGGATTTACAAACATTGTTTACATATTACAATTACATTTTGGATGTGGAAAAGTGAATTTATACAATGCAAAATATATTTTATATATTCAATCAAAGTATTTCTACTCACTCAAAGTGTTTGTCTTCTGTGTAATTGTGTCATTCTTGCGTGTCGTGTCGAGAGTGCCACTTTTCCACATCCAAAATGTAATTGTAATATGTAAACAATGTTTGTAAATCCCAGGCTCTGAAGATGATCTCAATAAAGATCGAAACGTTGGCACGATAAAAAAAATGTTTTTCTGAAACCTACATCACACCAGACCGCATCTCACGATTTCTAAATAAATATCGATTAACGGTCACTAATCACCACACACGTTCGTCTTAGTTGTAACTAGTGAAATTTTTGTTTGGGCATTCTCGTTGAATATCTCAAAAGAAAGAAATCACGAACGTGTATTTTGTATCTTTAATCGCAAACTTACATTATTATTATTATGTTTGTTTTAAAGTCCAAATTCTTAAACAATATGGCATTTCTTATGGTTTAATTGATGTATGTGTTAATTTTTTATAATTGATGTAAGGGATGTTTTCAGCATTGCATGCTATGTAAGTAGTGTTAACATTGTCCCGACTGCGTTTCTGGCGTCGTTCGCCGATCAATAGTGCGATCCCTTTTCTTTCTTGCCACGGGCGATATTTCTATTCCGTCGGATTCTCATCGAAAATCCCGAATTTTATGCAAAATCTTTTCCTTTTAAAATCCGAATAAATTGAAAATATCCAACAAGAACATTTACTATGGCTAATTTAGGTCAGACTAAATAAAAATCACTTTAAATAGCTATGTTTGTTTACGTGTTGCTGTCAATGTGGAACTTTTTTCCAGGGCACTAACCATCCTGGCTCATGCAAGGCGACATTTTAACTCGTTCGCGTTCGAAATATATTTTTTCATCACTTGTGAAATATTTTTTAACAAAAATGTTTGTTAACCCACTTGGGACAGTTTTGTTTATTTGAAATGGAAATATTTTGACGACGTTTTATAGAGCATCCATCCCAAGCTGTAAATAAACCATTGTTGACTGGAGCTTGGCCTAAAACGCGACGGCTTGTATTGTGGCACATGTCAAAACGTGAGTTTCATACAAATCGCAAAAACATAAAGTTTTAAACACTGAAACTCCTGATAGATCTGTTTATTTAATTGTTAAAGATTACAAAAAACAACATAACTTTGGGTTCGGCTACCTAGAAAAGTCTTTCACTATCTGCAACTACCATTATTTAGGGATGGTTAACTACCATTATTAAAGAAGTTTCTGTTTTCATTATTAGAACTACCGACCACTTTTTCACTTACGAACACTGGATCAAGGCCTGGTCTGGTATCTTGGCAATATTGGGACTGAATCGGTCTTCAAGGAAATTTGAGATCGCCTGTAAAAAATTTAAATATGTCAATCAGTAGACACATTTAAAATTGTTTTGCCCTGATGATGCCCTTACAATAGGTCAAAAGCTTGGACCTCTTCCCCATGAGGTAGCTTCAATTTATGAGAGCCTCAATGTTTTTGGAGTATATGCTGAATAGTAGCAGTAATAGGATGCACCCTTGCATCACACTTCTCTTGATTTCGATGTCATCCGATGTACATCCTTCTATCCTGACATTTGCTTTTAGGTTCCAGTAAAGGTGTGCTATAGTGCGGATATCTTTATCATCTATTTGGTTGTTTTTAAGAATTTCTATCATTTTCCTATGTTGGTATCTTATCAAAACCCTTTTCAAAATCAATAAAATACAGACCGGATGGTTGACACCCCTCATCCCTACATTTCAGTATTAGGACTTTGGTGCAAAATGCTTCTCTGGTTCTTAGTTCATTGCAAAATCCAAATTATGATTTCCTTATTTGATCTTCTAGTTTAATACTGATTCATCTATGCAAAACCCTTAAGATTATTTTTAGGACGTGGCTCATTAAACTGATTGGCCGATATTCACGACTATCATAGAGACCAAATTTGCTTTCTTCTTCAAGACCATACCTTGATCCAGTGTTCGTAAATTATTAAAGAAACTGGAACCAGGAAAACAGTTACCAGAACTTGGTCAGGTTTTCATATATGTACATTTATAAATTATCTCCTACATAGTTGTAATTTTTATAGAAAACTGTTTTCAAGAACTTAATTTTAAGAAATTTTCTTCTCTTTAAAACTTTGATACTACTTAAATGTGCTTTAATTATTTTGTTTTCCATTTTTTTTTAAAGATAATTGCTGGAGTTTGCCTGTTCTTGGTATCTTGGTATGATGTTTACCTGAGGCGCACCCCATACCTGTTTTTCTTTAGCATCGTAACTACAGCATTTGTGGCCAGTAGTTGCCTTTTACTAGCCTGCCTTATATCCCTTTCTACGGCATCAATAATCGCAAAGACTATTTATGTGAGTGAATAGATTAAATACATGCTTTATTTATTTTTTTCCTGTATTGACTACTTTCTATTCTTAGGAATTGGTCTACCATGTCGTGTTATGCGTTCTCGTTTTAATTTCCTCCATACTCTTCTTCGTCGAAGTGGAGAACCATTCCAAAAACTATTACTACCACAATCAATATATGACATGCGCTGTAAGTACTTTTTTCCCATAAATATGTAATTTTTTTATTCTTTAACGTAACATAAATTATGATGTTAAATTTTTTTTGTTTTAGATCCTGGGTTTAATATTAGGAGTGCTCTACTTGGTCAGCACTGTTTTTGCATATCGTAATTACAGAGGATTGTAAACGGTGCCCTTTTGGATAAAACATGCCTTAAGTGTGCTTATACTTACATTACTCTTGTCAATTTCAATTTTTAAAATTTATGTGTTCATATATAAAAAAACAGTACTGCTGTTAAAATTTATTTTAACAAATGTATATTTAAAAAAATATATATATATTTATAAACACCTCTTTTTTAACATAAAATGAAAAATCTTAAGTTTTGAACTAACACTCAATGTTTTTATGGATTGATTATCATCATAAAAAAATTATTATTTAAATTACTCATTTTAATTATTATTACTGAATAAATAATTATTTTGTAATTTTATTGCTTCAGATACTACCTGGAAAGTATACTTTCTAGCGCTTTTGTACAATTTAAATGTATTTTGTTTCGATTAATTTTAAGTATTTTCTTTTTATTAAATAAATATATAGTAAATTTAATTTTTAAGAGTATTATATTAAATATTGTTATTCACTCGTGTGTTATATCATAATTGTTGGTACTCTACTGGTACCCCATGAAGGTGGGTAAAGTTAGGCTCTAATTGTATTTATTATTCTTATATATGCTATTAAAGCTAATGCTAAATAATGTAAAAGCACAATTGTTATTATTGTTAAAGCTTTATGTATTAATTTATTGTCAGATATATTTTTTCTCTCTCTTATCAGGCCTATAGAAGCGCATGTTAATTGTCAATTTTATTTTTTTGTATATATTATTTATAAATTGACTAATACTGTTGTTAAAAATAAGTATAATTTTAATATTTTTGCATTAAATTGATGTGTGTAAAAATAGTGTGTTTTTGTATTGTTTTCCTGAATTTTTATTTATTTATTTTAACAAATTCTACAAATTTTTAAAAATATAGCAGATTTTAAAAGTGGATTGGATTTGGATTTGTATAGGCTCAAATCTGCACATGTATTATGTACATAGATACAAACATGTGCCAAGTTGAGCCTATTGGCTTCCACCGGCAATTTCAGCTTTTGCTATTTATAGTAAAATGGCTGGCAGACTCGTGAATCATCTACCCTGGGTGTTGGCAGTCTGGGGGCAGACCTTAGTCTTATCCGTCCAACCACCGAGGTTCTCCTGGGGGGGGGGTCAACAGCCAGGTCTCAATTCAGCACCCAACACAGCCAGTTCCAAACCCATTCATACTCACATTCATTCTTAAATACATTCAATGCTATTTACGTACCATTCAATCAATTAGGGTGAGTATTCAAAATTCCTCCATCACCCTTTACAGATATCATAAAACTAACTTAATTGAGGGTCGATGGGGTATTTGGTATTCCGCCATCAAACCTCTCACATCACACATTCATGCTAATAAATACATTCACTCTCAACAACAATAGGTATACACAACTATTATTACGATATACAATAGAACAACCCTGTTTGTTCCTAAATAGTCGCTGCCATACTCAAGCACAATTATCAAATCGGGTGGCATTCTTGCATTATCTGTATGAAGCCAAGGAATTGCACCTACAATTAGGTGGGACAAATCGAACAACCTTTCTCTGCATGCCGGACACATACATGGGCTTTGGCCCAAAGTTAAGCGTCCCTTGGTCAACCTCGCATGGCCTATTCTTAATCAGGTGAAATTTCAAAAGTAAAATTGTGTTGATGCTGGTTTTCACCTCATTCAATTCTGTGACTTTTTCTTTTGAGAAAAGAACTGGGAAAATGTCTATCAAGATATAAAGATTAATGTATATAACACATATTTTTGGGTCATTCTTCAGACAGTCCATTACGGTTCATGAAAAGGTTGACTTACCTACATCCTACTTAAAGAGACTAGTACAATTTGGCACAGTGTAAACAGTAAAGTAAAGCATGATTGAAAATGACAAAAATCTCAGAAGGTAAATCTCTCTTATGCCCTTTTACTAGGAAAAGAAACATTGATTTCCGCGGTAGAGAAAATCTAGGAGGGTATAACTTTCCTGTAGTTTCTCAGGTCAAATTTTTGCGTTTACAGCTTGATAGGAAATTAATGTGGAACACATATCTCTTATGTAGTAATGAAATGTGAGAAGCTGTACAATATTTTGCGGTGTATAAGTAATAAAAAGTGGGGAGTGGACCACATATAGGTATGTTTTTTTATAGATCGACTGTTAGAGCGATTTTGGATTTTGGATCAATTTTGTACGCACAGGCTTCTAACACCTCTCTGAAACGATTGGATACGGTTTGCAATAAATTTCTTAGGAGAATTTTAGGTTGTTCACCAAGTATACCCATTTCAGCATTATCTGTAGAAGTATGTGAACCTCCATTAGAGATCAGAAGAGAAAAGTTGTTGGGTAATTTTGCAATTAAGCTATATTCAGAAGTTAGTCCCATCTTTTCTAAAATCAATCAGTTGGTAGTCAATGACCACACAAATTTGTTTTGGCAAAAAAAGAAATCCCCTCTGTTGGTTCTCTGTTCTCCCCTCTGTTCTCTCTTTAACTCCCCTTATATTCTCTCTATACAAAAGCATTATACCTCCAATTTTTACCCTAGAATACGAGACAATTGTAAGAGAAATCGACGGTTACACGTTCAGGGATTATTCCGAGTTTTCTCCTCTACAAGCGCAGAAGGATTTTTTAGCTGATGTGAGTATGTTATTTCCTGATTTTCAACTAATTTTTATGGATGGTTCTCTAATAGATGGTAATACAGGATGCGCTTTTTTCGATCCCCTAAATAAGCATCATGAACAAGTTTCTCTCCCAAAAAATTTTTCTATTTATTCAGCCGAAATTGTTGCTATAAACGGTCAGACAAAATCTGCATCTTTACGGATAGTCTAAGCTTCATTCAAAAAATTAAAAATTTCAGTCTAAACTCTAAATGTGAATATCTCATTATCGAGATTCTTAAGAAACTACAGGAATTGTTCCAAATATATAATAAAAAGATTACGTTATGCTGGATCAAAGGGCATTCAGGGGTTTGCCACAACGAGGCAGTGGATAAGCTAAGAAAGTGGCACTGCTCTTGACATGTGCTACACTAAAGGAGATCTTAAAAATCACATTAAAAAAATATGTTCAGAAAAATGGCAAATTTTGTACAATTCTACGGAAGCTGGGAAACATTATCGAGCTATATTTTCCAACATTCAAAAGCAACCCTGGTTTACAGTTGGGGGTAAGAGTAAGGCGTTCTACTCTACTATATCTCGCCTTAGGACAGGGCACGGTATATGTGGAGCATATTTGTATAAAATAAATTTAAAACTCACCCCTAATTGTGCTATGCAATGAGGTCGAGGATCTCAAACACATAATTTTGATCTGTAACAAGTACGAAGTTCAGAGAGCGAACTTATTACGGAATATTGCTGGGTGTAAAAGTGTTGAACGACCTTTCAATTTGGACACTTTAATTGGTACTAATCATATATTTGATTTTCTGGTGTCAAGTAGCATTGAAATTTAAATTAGAGGATTAGGCTAGGTTGGGTGAGGCGGTTGTGGTTGGGCGGAGGGTGGGGATCATTGTCGGGCGCTTGATTTTTATAAGGCCCTTTTGTCCCCGCTGGTTTGTCTTGGGCAGCTTTGGTCCTCCTCCTGGCCCCTTTGGTCATCTCCGCCTCATCGAGTTTCATATAGTTATTTCTTTGGCCAATGCATAAAGTAAGGTCAGAAAAACAAACAAAAAATAGAAAGATAGAAAATAGAATAGATAGAAACAGAAATTATACTTCGACCATCATACAACACCATAGAAGGCAAAATGCAAGTAGTGGAGTAAACTAAGTATTTAACATGAAGCATGGCAAGTAAACAACTGGCCAAACAGTCAAGCCTCTCATTATGACTAATATCAAACAATATAGCAATAAGTTGAAGTGCCTATGAAAATCAGTTTAATTGGCTCTGAACAACTTAAAGAAGGTCAGTTTTTGTCCTCAGATTCCACAAGCATGCATGTAATTTTTTTTTTTTTTTTTTTTTTTTTGCTTCTCATCTAAGATTGCACTGGAATATCTGATAAATATGCTTTTAAAAATTACTGAAACATCACTACTGATTTTTTTATGAGTGAATATTACTGTTTTTAATACAGAGCAAAGAAGGTTGAGATGAAAAATTAGTGTGAAGAGCGGGACTTGAATCCCTCTGGATGACGTGAGTTCAAGTGTCCCACTCGTGACACTAATTTTTCATCCCAACCTTCTTTATGTTATACTAAAAATTGGTTAAGATAACTAATAAGTATTGTTACTATGATTTCTTATCTTAAATTTACCATCATCAGAATTTTTCATCAATTGTTTCTTATTCCAGTAGTGAGGGCACTCTATCCTACTCCAACTACTCCTACACCTAACCAGAAATACCATATTAATCTGATACCATATTTATATCAGTATTCTGGTGCACTGTTAAGCACTGGTTTGAGATTGTGCAGCAAAAACTGGTCATATATGCCCGACCTTTCACAAAGAGGTGTAGTAAGGTGGCCAAAAAACATCGAACAAGGAAACACAAAACAAATTGCTGTCTACAAAGACCAGCATGTATTCCCCTGAAAGTCCTGACAATCTAACAACCTGATTTTGCATACCTAATTTGTTGTTATTCTGCAATTCAGCACCATTTTGGAATTAATAATGTTTGAGCTTAGTACTTTGAAGGCTGCTTGACTTTCTGAATTCATGTTTTTTTTTTACCATAGTTCAAATTGAACTTAGTACATCTCTCAATTGCAGGCACTTTAGTCTGGAAGATACTGGTGAATTTTTCGATGGGTTCTGAGTATTTGGTTCCAGGACCAGACACTCCTGCCTTGAACTTTCTTGCTTTCTAGATCAGCGTATCATTTCTCAAGAGGTCTTTCCCATTGTTTTTGGCCGTTAGAACTTTGAAGAATATTGCTTAAATTCAAACAACCAAGACAAACAGGCCAACATTCAAGAAGAGGCAGAAATATCTCAGCAAGTACTTTTTGATCGCAATGCATTGGTCTGGAGAGAGGACAGCTTCTTTGGAAAAGTAATGCTAACACCTAGAGAAATAAGTAAAGAGGAATCCATAAAGTGCTGCCTTAAGGGTCGATACTCTTCGAGGTATCTTTTAGGTCGCAGTGGAAGAACTATGGTCACCAGTGAGCTCGAAGAAGGAAAAAAGTATGAGTCTTACAAAAATCTAGCCGAATAATGGCAAGTTGAGCTTAGTGATTTTGAAATTTGGCTCTTAGAAGTTCAGAGCGCTCTGCAGGTTGGAAAACTTCTGGGCGATATGTTATCACAATTGATTCTCGTGGTCTCAACTCGGCCGGTTCGCATTGCCTCGGAAGCAGGCCAAGAGGCGCACATCGGGCCAGTTCCGTCGCACCAGCGAGACCAACCGGACCCAATGCCAGTTGACGGCGGGAACGAGATCAAAATGGAGACGAAGAAAAGCTCCAGCGAGTCGTCCAACGCGGACGAAACCCAAGAAATCAAGTTTATAGTCGGCGAAGACTCTGGACAGGACGAATTGCAAGATCTGAGGATCGCCTTCGACCCAGACTACAAGCTCAAGTTGAGAGTCTTCTACCTTCTTGTGGCAACCTTCTGCCTCTGGGCAGTCCTCTTCTTCACCTTCCTCAACAGGTGATGACCACTTCCATTATCCATATTATAATATAAAATACTTATTGTACTAGTTAAAATTAATTAATGCAACCTAAAAAGACAGCTTAAAAAAAATTGTTCCAAAAACTTCCAGATCACATAGCTCAAAAGATTCATTTGTGCTGTTATTGAACAACCGAAGGAAAA